CTTCCTTCCTTCCTTCCTTCCTTCCTTCCTTCCTTCCTTCCTTCCTTCCTTCCTTCCTTCCTTCAGCTCAACTTTAAAAACTGACTCTTGTCCCTCTTCTCTCAGCAGTAGGAGTTATGCTGCGTTCAGGATCAAAGTAAAAAAATGTTTCCCGACACACAACCAGGGCGTTCAGTCATTTCATAAATAGCCTACTATGAAAGATGATCCATTTATATTGGTATACACCAAACAACAACAACAACAACAACAACAACAACAACAACAACAAGATACGATTTGGCTGGTTGGTTTGAACTCCAAGATGCAGGACTGAGTGAGGGAGGCAAAAAAGGTTTATTAAAGCAAACAAAGGTGCTGACGTGGCAGCAAAAACAGTAACAAAGGGCAGGAACAAGAATATCCAACTGAGAACAAAAAACAAGAAACAAGAAAGCAAACAGTAAACAAGGATCTGACCCCAGACTGAGACCAGACAGGACTTAAATACACTGAAAACTAATGGATGAACTGAGAACACCTGGTGAGAAACACCAGGGTGGCAATCAGACTGATGAGGGGCAGCTGGGAGGAGACACACTGGGGAAACAGAAACACTGGGAAAACCAAGGTGAAAACTGACAAATCATGACACAACAACAACAACAACAACAACAACAACAACAACAACAATAATAATAATAATAATAATAATAATATGTGTGCATATTTGAACAGTTAAAGACAAAATAATTAATCTGTCTCCAATAATATTTGTTTGTCACAAAAAGACTGCTCATAATTGGCCCATTGCTGGCCACGTGTTCATTATCTCGTGCGGTGCCTAGCTACAACTAAATATTGCGTGGGAAAGTGTCATGATCTCGTGGCCACGTGATAATTTTTTAATCCCATGTCATCGGACGGTTCCGTAAAACCTGTACTTTTTTAGGTTGACTTTTCTCTGGGAATGTAGCATTCAACTGCAGAAAGGATTATCTTGGGGTGGGGGATGAGAGTTTCATTTTTCCCGACATCACTTGAACGCAGCACTGTGCAGCGGTCTTAGAAAACCTGCAGACGCTCCTGCAGATTCTGGATCAAGTCGCCTGGGGATCAGAAGTCCTGACGCCGGGATGAACACCGAGGACACACCGCTGGAGATGAAGGAATCTGAGAACAAAGTCTCGGAACCGAAAGATCCGGATCCTCAGGCCGCTGTGGACCCTGATGCCACTGAGGCCGATGTGAGTGAGGCGGATCTGGACCAGGATGAGGAGGAAAAGCAGCCGATGACCGGAGGTGTGGTCCCGGACGGGGAAGAGGGGAAGAAGGAGGAGGCGGAGAAAAACGGCTCCGTGAAGGTGAAGATCCTGGAGGAGACAGAGGAGAAATTTACAGGCCTGAACAAAGAGGAGCTGCTGAGGGTAGCAGGAACCCCGGGGTAAGGTTCAGGATCTGTCTAAAGCTGCTAAACAACAAGATGAAATGAAATAATTAACTGTCACTGGACGGCCTCTGTAGGATTTCCCTCAGTGACTCAATCTGAAGTGGAGCCTGAATAAAAAAGGCTCAAACTGTGGTGATGCCAGAACTAAAAGTCCGATTTTTAAAATAATCTTTAGATGTCTTTGATGGTCAGAAATATAATGTTTTTAATTATTATCATTTTCATTTGTTTTGTGTTGGAAATAGGACACATTTTAAAAAGACTTCACTTTCTGTTTTGAAAAGAATAATTTGAACTAAAATGTCAAATAATGGAATTAATGGAAGCTTGTTTGTGCTCTTCACACTGTGGAGGTTTGGAGTAATTTATGTCAGTGAGAAACTAATGGGTTGAAAAAAAAAACAAAAATATCCTTTTGATATAAAATGATGGTATGTAGCCTACTTAAAATAATTAGTTTGAAAAATAACATTTTAATCAGATTGAACATAAAGTTTGTGACAAGAGTTACTTTACTTTGATGGCTGCCCTACCTCCTCTCAGCACTCTTTTCTTTTTCATAAATTGCCGTTAGGGTTGGCTTGGGTTTCTGGAGCTATTTTTGCTTTGCTTTGCTTCAATCCTGTAGAATTCCTGAAACCAGTTGTGCCCACTTTGTGGTCTTGTCATCACCATTGTGATACTTGGAGATTCTTGTGTTGATACAGCTTCAGCTTTTGTGTTTTTTCAGCTGGGTGAGAACCCGTTGGGCACTCCTGTTGGTGTTCTGGCTTGGATGGTTGGGGATGTTGGTGGGAGCCGTCCTCATAATCCTACAAGCTCCTGGCTGCAGAGAGCTGCCAGCCACCAGCTGGTGGAATGATGGACCACTGTACCAGATAGGAAACATCCAGGCCTTCACAGACATGCACAACCTGAAAGGTTAGCTGCTGATTATCTGTTAATCCGTCCATCTAGCCATTTTCRTAGTTCATAATTTGTTCCTGTTTTTTATCTGCCAGGTGTAGAGCAGAAGATGAACAATTTTTCTCAGCTGAAGGTTAAAGGTCTGGTTCTTGGACCATTTCATGTGGCTCCACCTGATGATGCCATGAGTCTCAGGTTTGAAGAAATTTCACCTGAATCTGGAAACCTGGATCAATTTAAAGATTTCATTCAGGCAGCTCACATGAATGGTAAGACAGCACCTCCACTTGTGTTAGCAGAGCATATTAGCATCATGTTGCTTCAGTTTAAATTCTACTCTGAATATTTGTAGTAAAGAAGACTCAGAAAATGAAATCACACATAATAAAAAACTAATCCAAAACCTAAACCTGAAGTAGAACAACAGGTAACACTCATTAGGAGGTCAATAATCCATTCCCTAACCATATTCTGCTCATTATCGTTAGGCTCCTTTTCTTTTTCTTCTTTTCAAAGCTGACCTGGTAATAGCTCTCAGAGCAATCAGCAACAGAGGATTGGGMTTATGGGATCCTTTTTCCTTTTGTGCTTTTGATCAAGCTCAGAAGGTGTTCTTAGTGTTTTGTACTTTATTCTCCAGTTTCTTTGTGGGTTTCTTGGACATTACTTTTTATTTGACACACTTGTACATCATCTCTCTCATAGAAGGTTGTACTGAAAGATGAATGGATGCAATTAATGGAAATAACTTAAATAGACTTCTGTAAATATGTACTCAGTCCTAATATTCCTCTTGCTTGTGTAGGGATTTCTGTGGTTCTGGATTTGACCCCAAACTACCTGGGATTATCTGGCCCCTGGTTTTCCAGCAGCAGTGTGAYAAATGTAGCAGAAAGACTGAAGGTAAGGATGGTTTGTCAAGGTTTTAAGGAGTTTTTCCTGTTTCTTTATATTGGCCAACTTAGTTTACTTCAACTTATAAATTATGACCGTAACCTCAGTTACTGAATAAAAATGGTCATCAACAGTATAAAGTTGAGATAAAATAGGAGCAATAGTGTAGTGCTGAAGAAAAACAGCTGCCATTACTCAGGTTCAACAGCTGTATAAGAGAAATGCATCACTCCAGTTTTGGCACAAGTCTTTTGCACATGCAAGTATTAACAGGAAAACCAAAAAGCAGAGAGAGCTGATACTTAGAAATAACTTGACTGCATCATTTGAAAGTCATCCTCCAAATTAACATTTAGTACTTGACAAACAAAGAACAAAAGAGCAGTACAATGTCTGACAAAGTATAAAAATATTAAGTAACTGAGGCTACGTTCACACTGCAGGTCTTAATGCTCAGTTCTGATTTGTTGAAAAAATCAGATCTTTTTGTGTGAACGTTCACATTACATTTTAAATGTGAACGTTCACATTTAAAATGTAATGTGAACGTTCACATTTAAAATGTAATGTGAACGTTCACATTACATTTTAAATGTGAACGTTCACATTGCA